GGTCACCCTCCTCAACATCATCATCGTCATCGTCATCCTCATCCCGACGGTGGATCCGTTCTTTACGAGCCGAGGTCAAAATACCACGGGATCTAACATGTCTATGCCCCGACCTCTCCACTGAATAGCTTCTACTAAGAAGCTCTAGATTCTTCCCCGCACCATGACGACCCAGTGAATACTACAAAAAATTAAAAAATATATAAACATACAAAAGTTTTTTAGAAAAATAAATAACTACTTACACATACAAAATACCAACACTTACAACATATCGTCATGTTTATAAACATAAAATTAATAAAGATTATAAAAAATCAAACACATAATAAATAAATAGGACACAAAACAAAAATTTCAAATTATTTCAAATAATTAAACATAAAAAAAAAAAATTAAACGGCATACACAAATACACACATAATACCCTAATGTATTACAAAATTTCTGATTTCCAAAAAAAAAATTTATTTCAAATAATTAAACATAAAAAAAAAATATATTACACATACACAAATACACACATAATACCCTAATGTATTACACATTTTTTTTTAAAAAAAAACAATTACATATTAACACAAACAATTTCCACATACTACATAAATTAAGACATAAAAAATGTTTACACATCAAATATAAGAAAATTAAACATTAACAAAAAAATAAATCTGATTTTATAAAAAATATATATACTGGATTTATAAAAAATAACATATAAAATTCATAAATATTTAAAAAAAAATTAGACATAAAACAAAATTTCTGATTTTCCAAAAACAAAATAAATTTAAAAAAAAAAAAAAAAAATTTAAACGGCAGGTGGGGCGCCTGACCAGGACGCCCACCCACTGGCGGTGGCGCCAGATCCTGCAGCCATAGCCAGTGGGCAGGCGCCTGAACTGGACGCCCACCCATAAGAAGAGGCGCCACCTCTGGCAGCCAGAGCCTATGGCCTGGCGTCTGGTTTGGACGCCTCTTTGGTGGCTGGGCTTCCAAGCCAGACGCCACGCCACCGGCTTTGGCTGCCGGAGCTGGCGCCCCACCTTCGCCCCTTATTTTTTTTTAAATAAAAAATTGTTAAAATAATTACCTTGCCACCAGGTCGCCGCCTTACCTCCGCCGCCGCCGCCGCCACCTCTTTCCCTTGCCGCCTCGACATTGTCGTAATTTTTTTTTTTTAGAGAGGTAGATTTTCTGATTTTTTTTAGAGAGATGTGGAGATTGTTTTTTTTAAAAAAGAAAAGGACAATAAAGTCACTTCAATACAAATTTGTGGGCTTTATGTGGAGATGTGCGGGCGATGTTTAGCGATTCACTTTTTAATTTCACCATTTGGAACCTCATGTGCAAATTTCGGGCAATATTAAATGAGGTTGGGTTAAAAACATAGTCCTTGGTTAAAAAAAATAATCCCCTAAAAGGTTGGTAAAAAAAAAAAAAAATAGTCCCCTACTTTAAAAAGAGAGACCCCTAAAAGTATATTAAATGAAGTGAGGTTGGGTTAAAAACATAATCCCTCTCTCTTTTTTTTTTTTTTTTTTTTGAGATTTTTAAAAATAAATTTGTACTCTGATTTGATCTGAAAAATCGTGAATTTTTAAGTGTATTTTTCCCTTATTTTTTTGTTTTTGTGGGAATTTTGGGATTTTGTTTTTTTATCTGAATTCTGTGAATTAAGTTTAGGCTGATTTTTTCTTCTATCTAATCAAAAGCATTGTAATTCCTTGATTTTTTTTTTACCAAATTTTCATATTTTTTTTTTTTACAAAAAAATCTAAAAAATTCAGTAGATTAGCTTAATTAGGCTCCAATTGGTCTGAATTAGGGAAACGGAATTATCTGGGTGGTTGTTGAAGATTGATCACCATTGCAGTTCAACTGTTTCGGGTAAAGTGTTTATTTTTTCCTCTGGTTATTAAATTAGTTCAATTATTTTATTGTTGAGAACTAGTTTATTCATGAAAATGCAGAAATGATTCAGATTTTACTGTGATACAATTGATGTTAGCTAGGATTTAATTACTATATACAATACAACTATGGAATTTTGATCAGAAAGTAGCATATATACTATGTCCACTTAAGTATGATTTATGAAATTAAGAATGATGAAAACTAATCTGCTTCATGACATTGTTATGATGAGGTATCATGACATTGTAATTTTGATATGTGATGAATCTTCTAAATGGATTTCTGCTTGTTCTTGATATCCTTCTAGCAGCCCTTTCGTTGCATCTGCGAGCAAAACTTACTGTTGCCATTATTTTGCTACCACAGGTTCAGCTTTTGGAGAAGATAATGAAGGATTCAACTTTGCTTCTGATTGTATTTATACTGTTAATTTCTCCAACGGCTAGTTTTTTTTTGGATATATATCCGTTTAAAAAAATTGTACCCAATTTCCTTCAATTATTTTTGGTTAGGATAAGATTCAAGGACCTGTGTTTTTTGGTTTGACAGAATTATTTATGAAGGGACTGTTTTTTTTTTTTTTTTTTTTTTTTTTGGCCAAAAATTAATATTAAGGGACTAAGTTTTCTTTAGGTGAGTTAACTTGTCGGATTGTTAACTTTAGGTACCAAAAGGTAAAAACAAACATTCAGGTCCCAAAAAGTGAAAAACTAAAAAATTTAGACCCCAACATTGTACTTAACTCCAAACTTAATGGTTGACAATATTAATGAGGGAAAATATGTAAATAAATATTTTTATGGGAGTAAATATCACACAATACTTTTAAAAGTTCAAAAAATATGGCAATTAATAGTAATAAGGACAAATAAGTAAATAAACTAGAGAATATAATTATCCAAACAAAATATTCATAAGAGTTATCACATGTAATTTTTAAAAGGGAGGGATTCAAAATTATAATGGAAATTATTACACATTACGCGATTATGGTTTTTTAATTCTATATTTTTATTTTGGATTTGTTGATATTTTGGAAAGATGATTTTTATTTATTGGGAAAAATGATAATTGTTGTCTTTTTATTTCAGCAACTTTTTGATGCAGTAGGCCACACCGTGTGGCAGGGGTTACCCGAGTTATTTTGTTAGGGGTTACCCGAGTTATTCAGTCAGGGGTTACTCGGTCAGGGGTAACTTGAGGGGTTCAAACAGGGGTTACTCAAGGGGTTCACTCAGTCAAGGGTTACCTGAAGGGTTACTTGGTCAAGGGTTACTCGGCTAGGGGTTACTCGGTCATCGGTTACTCGAGTTACTCGGTCAGGGGTTATTTAAGGAGTTCGGTCAAGGGTTACTCGAGTAATTCGGTTAGGGGTTACTGAGTTCGGTCAGGGGTTACTTGAGGATTCAGTAAGGGGTTACTTGAGGGGTTACTCAGTCAGGGGTTACTTGAGGAGTTACTCGGTCAGGGGTAGTTACTCGAGGGGTTCAGTCATGGATTACTCGAGGGGTTACTTGGTCAGGAGTAACTCTAGTAACCCTTGACCGAGTAACTTGAATAACCCCGATAACTAAAGTAATCCCTGATCGAATAACTCAAGTAACCCTGACAACTCGAGTAAACCCTGGCCGAGAAACTCGAGTAACCCTTGACCGAGTAACTCGAATAACCCTTGCCGCACAGTATAGCAGGCCGCATACAAAAAATTGTGTTCTTTTTTACCTAATCTTATAAGGCTTAATGCACTGTTAAATTTTTCTTTTTGTTGCTGGTAATTTATCTAGGTTTGGTTGTTGTAATTTTTGTTGTTCTCAATCATATTAATACGAGAAATTATATCATACATATATATTTTCCCTGATAAACTTCTTACATCATACGATTTCTATTTATTTGTAATTGATGCTGCCTCAATTCTCATATTCGGAATAAATCATTGGAAAGTGACTTATGGCACTACTTCGTCGTAGTATTGATAATTGATTAATTGTAAAGTGTTCCAAAAACTAGCACAAGTATTCCTAATTGTCAACTTTTTGTGAAAAGGTTATTACTCATATATAGAAGTGACAATATTCGAAATTTAAACATACGTTTAGCTAAAAGGTCGTATACGTATGTACCAAAGACTAGAATATAGTTGATAGAATATAAAACATATTTTTTTAATGCCTTAACCATCAATTTAAGTTTTTGGTTGAAGCCCATAATTAGTTAATATACTCTATCACGTCCCCTTACAAGAGAGCCCGTTGGACTGTAAATGCTACATGGGCCTCCATAAATGATAAAGTCAATAAATGGCTTCCTCTTCTAGGCTCTAGCTGAAGACTTTGACTACACTTGATCCTCCATTCCGCTCAACTTTCATATAACATGCATTTTACTCGGAAAAAGTCAACAAAAAATTGGCTCAAGATGCCCATGGACCTAACACACATACAATTGTCATTGTTATCTACTTTAATTCTTAAGTTTAATTACTCAAAAAAAAAAAAAAGTTTTAAGTTTTATTACGACCTATGCTAACATCGTAATAAATTAATAATAATTGGTTGAAAACTGAAAATGATAAGTGAATGTTATTATTTAATACTACCTATACTAACATCATTCATATTACAAGGATCAAACCCCATTGAAGATAGTCGGGATAGATATTATATTAATAATAATTGGTTGAAAACTTGAAATGATAAGTGAATGTTATTATTTAATGGTACCTATACTAACATCATTCATATTACAAAGATCAAACCCCATTGAAAATAATCAGGATAGATATTTTCATTAAGCTTTCTACTAATGACTAACAGTCTTACCCTTAATATATAATATTAGTTTAATGATATGTTGACTTGTTGTGATTATGTGGCTACTAACTGAAATAATGTTAGTAGGGAAGCTTGTTTTTACATAAAGTGTAGGTTGCTTAAGATCTGGTATACTTGAGACTCTTATTTGGCCTTTTCACGATTTAATGCATCAAAATTCTTATTTGACTTCTTTTACGGAGCAATCTATCCATGACTTTATTAACATGTTACATAAATGTTGATATTTCATCACAACAATATCTATCATTTCTCGTAATTACGTCCGTTTCGATTCATTCATTCATTCATATGGTTGTTTAGTTTAACTTGGGAAGTAATAAAAATGGGAAATCATCAACAACAGCATCAAAAAACAACAGCAAGTTCTGTGTCTAAATTTGTCTTCTTTGTAGTTGGTTTGTCTGTTGGAATTACATCCTGTTTTTACATCCTCAGTTTTTATTACGTTACAAATCAGACTCAGTTGTTAGCAATAGCATGCACAACATCAACATCCTCACAGCATAAAGCTCAGGCGTTAGCATCTACACCATTGCCGCCTTCATCACCGCCTCCACCACCACCATCACCGCCTCCCCCTCCCCCTCCATCCCCGCCTCCACTACGCGAAGAGGAGGAGGAGTTTGGGGAGAAACTGCTGCATTATATAGAGGATGATGCAGAGTTGTTATGGCGGGGGTCATTGGTGCCTCAGATACCGGAGTACCCTTTTCGACGTGTTCCAAAGCTTGCCTTCATGTTCTTGACAAGAGGTCCCCTGCCTTTAGCTCCTCTATGGGAGATGTTCTTTGAAGGAAATGAAGCTAAATTTTCTATTTACATTCATACTCATCCTAATTACACTGATCCTATGCCGAAGGATTCTGTCTTCCATGGTAGAAGGATTTCTAGCAAGGTACGTTAGTTCTTTTACACCAATCGATACATACGTTACACTAATTTAATTTGATCATATATCTATCAAATTTGATGTATGCAATGCATCTATCATCAAATATATTCTAAAATGGTACTTTATATATACTTCGTATTAGTTTAGGAAATTATTATCTTTATGATTGGTTATTGATTAATATTACTACGTAGTTTTCCTATATAGATCCTAATATTTTAAGTGCACGCAGAGTGTGGAGTGGGCAAATATATCAATGATCGACGCTGAAAGACGATTACTAGCCTCAGCACTCCTAGACTACTCAAACGAAAAGTTCATCCTCCTCTCGGAAGCCTGCATCCCCTTGTACAACTTCACAACAATCTACGACTACCTATTGATCAAGAACACTAATCTCAGCTTCGTAGGAGTGGAACCTGACTTCAAAAAGTCGAGCCCTTACAGATGGCGGGGCAAGATGGACCCACCGCTCAAGAGATGGCAGTGGCAGAAGGGTGCTCAATGGGTTGTCATGGACCGAGTTTTATCCATAGACATCCTTTCGGACACCAAATATTACCCTGTGTTTCGAGATCACTGTAGTTGGCCTTGTCAGAATCAAGATGAACATTATGTTCAGATTTTGGTTATGCTTAATCATCCAGAGCGCAACTCGAATTGGAGCTTGACTTGGACTGAATGGAAGGGCAACCGCCATCCTACCATGTTCGGAGCAAGGTCTAATATTTCAGCAAATATGATTCAAGAAATGAGGTTCAGGGATAATTGTACTATTGGTGGCCAAATTACTAACATGTGTTATCTTTTTGCTCGCAAATTTGCTCCTAATAGTATTAAGCAGTTGTTGGAGATTAGTTCTACATTGTTTGGGTGAATAATATTAATTAAGGTAAAGAGCAAGTCATCTATCTTTAATACTATTGTTTCCTACTTTGCAAAGTTGTATGTGGTACATCTAGTTCATTTGTTTCGCAAAAATAAAAATAAACTACATCGATCAGGTTCATTTGTTGACCAATTTGATATATACCATTTTTTCCGAATACAGATGTTACATTTTAATTGAATTAATACTACTGAAAAGTTTGAAAATCATGATTGTCAATACATATAACTGGTTGAAGACCTGAAGTGTAAAATAAATTAATAATCAATGACAAGTTTCAAACAAAAAAAAAAAAGGCAATGTACAGTCAAAACATGCACAGAAATCTAACACTAGTAATATAAGGCATGCATCAACTTATGCGTGTTATAGACTTAGGCATGCCTGGAATTCCAGAAATTAGGAAGGGGGTAATATCTAATGGGGTATATTCTACTTGAGCATTGATTTAGAGACTAATAATTCATTTTCTAAGGTTTGGCAACAATCCTTGGGTAAAGACCACCAATTCATGGCAATCGGCGGCAACCACCATGTCGTTGATAAATTTGAGACCACCACGAGCATCGCCTCACTTGAAGGATCAAGAGCCCTAACCTTTTGTTCAACTATCTCTTCAACCACTGGGTTCGATTCAAGATACTTGTTCGTAATTCGCCGGAATTGATGAGCTATGGTGGCGACTAGCAGCTTCCATCAGGCGGCTATAATGGCGGCAATTGCTTCAATTGGGCGGAGGGATATGAAGGTGAAGGAGATAATACATAGCAGGGGAGAAGGAAGATGCAGTATAGCAAAGGAGAGTGCTTTTTTTTTACGGGTGGAAATTGTTATGCTAGGGGGGAGGTGGGTAATTATTAACCCCCTTTTTAGGGGAATAGATCACCCAATGATTATTTACCCTAGATCCAAACTTAAAAAAAAATCCAGAATTATTACTCATGTATTTTTTCCCCTCCCATTACACCCATTCCAGGCAGCCCCTTAAAGTAACATTTAATATTTACAAGAGATATCATTAATAACTATCCACTTTAATACATTTACAAGCTTCACCTTGTTATGAAATAGGCAGTAGGAAATGTAATACTAATAGCAAATTAAGTTGCACATGTAATTAATAAGCTATGGAATCAGAATATATATATTGCAGAGCAATTGAGTCCTATTCAAAAGTGTTAAATAGTGAGATCACAAGAAAATAATAAAGAGAGCATATATAGATAACTAATATTATAAATTTTAGCATAGAACTAAACCTCTGAATATATGCTAGCTGTGTGAGACCGTGAACTAGTGGTGCTATTGATTTGGAGACGTCGAAGACTCGAAGTGGAGGAGGTGAGGTGAGTAGGGAACCAAGGGTGTAGCAGAGGCGTGAGCGCTTCAATAAGCTGGCAAGCTAAGGTTCCTCATAAGCAGCAGGCTTAAGTTTCTTGTTTGATAATCATAGAAGTTAAAATTTGTGTGTGCAAGAAAAAAAAAAAGCACATACATCTCCGTTGTAGGGGTGGAATTATGCCAAGAAGTTGAGAGGATGCTGGCTATGGTGCTGCAAAAGGCAAGTCTAAAAGGCGTACGTTATGCACCAAACTCCACCACCACGAACCATCTCAAATTGAATAGTGTCCTCGTTCGTTCTCATTCTTAAGTTGCCACACTTACTAGGAGGAAAGTGTAATAAGGACTAGGGCAGGAAGTGGAATGTGTTACGTCTAAAATAAATTTCTTGTATTACGTCTGAAATGGATGTGCAGCATGCTGTAGATTATTGCAGGAAAATTCTTATTAATGTCCCAGTAACATTGAAATTACGGAAATTGACAGGTCTTATTTCTTCCTCTTCATTTTTTCCCCAAAATCCAAGAGTTGCGCTTGGTTGTATAACTTGTATCTAATTTTTCTTTAGTATAATATTAGGAATTGGATAGGAAGAGGCATGTTTGCCTTTATTTCTGAAGGCAGTAAACAAACTGAATAAAACTGAAGGACAGTCAGTTCTGGTCTTTCTGTGATAGTTGAGACTTGTTGCAAATTGATTACACAGACAGAAATCTCTTATATATATTATCTGTTCTGTTCTCACAGGCTTGCTTCTCCGAGAAATCAAGGACTTTTGGCCGGCTGCATTGCTTTATCTGAAGGCCAAATTCTGAACAGTTTGACATAGTGGTAGTGCTTACAAAGCAGCTTTTAGGATTCATGGTCTATGCTTTTAGAGCTGCACCTGGAATTAGTCATCAGTTAATCATCCCCGAAAGTCCAAAGATCATGGTCGGAGTGGGTACATGCCATATTATATAATACGACAATGAAGTGACATACAGTACAAACTGCGATTCTCACCTTATAAAAAAAGATACTTAGCAGCTAATATTGGAATTAGTCACGTGTTTTCCTTCCAAACCTTCCAACACAGAGTGAGTAATTTATTGATGCTTGCTGAGTATTTGGTCATTGTAAACCTGCGTTTTGGTATCTGAAACTAGGCCTTTTCACTTCTTTGTTTTGATTGCCATGGTTATTTGCTGACAGCACTGAAAACATCGTGTGCAGGTGCAGATACTAATTTGCAGCTTAATGACCAGATTTTGAACTGCTATACCGGACCCTGATGGTGCTTCCTATGAAAGTCTAGAAGGGGAAGCAGTGGCTATCCTAGAAGAGTCACTGATTATTGATGGTGTGATACTGATTTATCTGGATCTGAAATACCTCAACTGTTATATCGTTTTGTATTTTCATATTGATTTTTGATATCTTATCATTTGGTTAATCCTCTGCACAATTTTTATCTGTGTTAAAATATTGTAGGTGATGAGACTCTGCAAGGTAGTGATTCTCCTTTGAACATGGATTGTTCAGTTGTTCTCCAAGACAAGACTTTTTACATTAACTCTCCAATATTAGCTGCTAAGAGTCCTATTTTTTTTTATAAGGTGAGAATCGCAGTTTGTATGTCACTTCTATGCCTTCCATTGTTGGAATGATTATCTCATCCCATTCTCCTTTCGAATTCTGTCACAAGTCATTTCTCTTAAATTTAGTTTTTCTTTTCATTATCCTCTTCCAAGTGTTCTGTGTTGCTGATTCATTTTTCTTAATGATAAACTAATGGAGTGTTGAGAAAGGGTAATTTGGAGGGAAATTATGAGAAGAGAAAGCGGGGGAAGGGATGCATTACACGCACTCACCTTTTAGCAAACCAAATCCTTCCAGTGTTGGAAAGTTTGGAATGAAAACACAAGGTCGCTTAAACACCCCCCCGACACACACACACAAACACAAACATCCAATTTATAAAACTTCTTCTTGACTGTGCTTGGAAGTATTATTAACTTGTGACATTCCCTTTGTTTTTGTGGAACAGAGGAAGATCCATATAATAGGTTTAGATATACCTAATTATATGTGCACCTAGGTTCATAGTAATAGGTTCTAATGTCTTTTAATTATATTAGCACAAAAATTACTCCTTGATCTCCTTCCCTTTGCATTTAACGATTTCATTTTGTGTTATGTTTCGGGTAAAAATACCCAGGCCACGTGGCCCAATCAAAGGGTGACACGTGTCACCTTATGAGAGTTTCAAACTGAATCAATCCCTAGCTGACACGTGGCACTCCCAATAACCAGGGAAAAAGACGGCCTAAAGGGCCCAATTCCCGAGAAAGCCGCAAAACGACGCGGCTTACCAAATCTAGGTCAGAATGACCTAGGTAGGGGCACATTCACCAACGACCCTATAAATAGGGAGATTTCCCCCATTTTGGGAACACGTTCAATTATTACACACAATCAATTCTCTCGAAAACGAAGAAATCACCTGATCTCGAAATCCGAGAAGATTTACTTTTACTTTCTGTACTTTTGCATCACTCTAAACACTTTCTAATTTGATCGTCGGAGGCGGAACTCCGAATACTCGGAGCTTCCGTTGTTTTGCAGGTACAACCGGCGGAAAATCAGTCTTGGTGACATAACTCTCCCGAGGGACAAAAAACCCAGAAACATTTGGGGCCGTCTGTGGGGAGAGTACCTCTAAGATGGTTTCTCAAGAGACTGTACCGCCTCCCGAGGATAAGCAGCCTACGGCTGAGGTCTATTCAAACCATGATACGGATCCAGAGGTCGAAACATATACGACCGCAGATGGATCCCTCATTATCAGGCGCATCCGTTCCAAAGACAACAAGGAACGGAGTGATGCTCAGGCGGGTCCGAGTAAGAACTTCGGCCAGCCCAGGCGGCAGGACAGTCTGCTCACATCACCTGAGACGAGTTCATGAAATTCATGACAAGTTTCAAGGGAAAGATAAAGGACCTGATCTCCAAGAAGACAGCTGGTCCCAACAGGGGTCAGTCGGCCAAGAAGCCCTCTCGCTTTGAGAAGGCTAAGTCGGTTAAGGACAGGGAGCCCACTCCGCACCCAAAAACAAAGGAGGGGACCCGGGCTTTGATTGATTGGACCAAGTTCCACCTCCCCGAGCAGGGGAAGAGGAAGGCCATCCGGCATACACAGTCGGATGGCAGTAAGAAGACTATCTCTGATGCTCCACTTAAAATTGAGCAAAGGAGGAACGAGCAACTGTCTGACTCGGCTTCAACGTCGACTTTCCCGGACAGCTTCAAGAATATCTCGCTGAGGTATTCTTAACCTGTACATGAGAGCCTGTCAGGCGGCCCGTCAGTCCATACAGGTCCTCAGATGATCGGCTCGGCCCTATATGTGCCCCAACAGCCTGCTCTCTTCGAAGGTCAGGCGACATATAATGTCCAGCCACTAGACTGGCAGCTCCGTCTGCTAAAACTTGGAGAACAACCTTCTGCTTTCTCTAAGGAGATAACCAAGGCGGCACAGCCGGCCAAGGTTAAGGATGTCATGGTGGGTACTTATGATGGTACCACTAACCCAGAAAACCACCTGTGGCATACACCCGCCTCATGTACCTACTAGGGTTGGATGACGTCGCATGTGATAACTTGTTATTTGGTATGATTTTAGGGTACTTTTGAACCTTGTTTTCGTTATTACTCGGCATCAAAATTCATTATTTATCCTATTTTTATGCAAATTTTGTACCATCCATGCTTCACAGGTTGTTTGTGTTTTTGATGTAATGTAG